GTCAGGTTATTTTCTACGGCCACACCAAGTAATTGCTATGGATGACGTCCACTGGAGACCTTAAATCTAATTACCTTAAATTTAAGGCAAGCGCGCATGCGCAATAAAAACACTAAGGGCCGAAAAACGAGATGCCTAGATTTGGAATATACTAACTGTAGAAGTACAAATGTAAGGACACAAAGAACACAAGAAACAAGTCTTCTATTCGTCATAAAGACAAATTAACAAAACAGCAGTAGTCACCCTGTTCTGATTCTTTCCTTTATAACATCTTCTCTTATTATATTTTTCGGCGCTGTCGTGACACTTTCAACATAGTAAGAATTTCTTGAACGTTTTTTTTTCCAGTAACAGTCCAAACTCAAATAACGTAGGGGTCACACGGGTGACGACGCATCTGTATAATCGGCGGCAAACCATTTCAGGGTGTTCTGTACCATAAAAATAGTACAGAGATTCTTTTGTTCTTTAGACCAAGTTCACAGTTGATTGTTAGCTCGATGTGTTTTGCATTGTTGCTAGCACAGAAAATTGCTGTATCATCCGCATACAGACAGACTTTACATGCAGTGACAATATCAGATAAGTCATTTATAAATATATTGAACAGCAATGGGCCTAGTATAGACCCTTGGGGAACACCTAGAGTGACAGGTAGGTATTTTGATGTACACCCGTTCAGAGAGACAACTTGTTGTTTCCCTGACAGGTAGTTTGCAAACCAATGGAATTCAGCACCTTGCACCCCCATCCAGGACAGCTTGGTTGAAAGTAGTTTGTGGTCAACAGTGTCAAATGCCTTCTTAAGGTCCAGATATACTACTCACACCAGACTACCCCTATCCATGTTATGTAGTATATAGTCTTTAGCGACTAATAGGGTTGATTCTTTCGAGTGCCCTTTTCTAAAACCAGACTGTTGGGTGGTCAGAATACTGTTTTGGTGTAAATATTCAAGGAATTGTGTGTGTACTTCTCGTTCGAAAGCCTTCATAATAACAGGTAGTACAGAAATGGGTCTATAATTATTACCCTCCATGAAAATGGGGGTACTGTTTTTACTCCGTTTCATGTTTGGTCTGATATCTGAAGATCGGTGAGAAGGAACTGTACGATATTTGGCAGATTGATGGATGGGGCCTTGGAGATTGTGTAGGTTGACTTTGAGCCCCTGGTGATTGAACTTGGTACTGCAGTTTAATTTTTTATTCTGTTGTTTTCGCGTTATGGACTGTTTGTGCGATATTAAGGTAGCATGTAGTTGTTATTATTATGGTTTAGTGGTTTAAATTTGAGTTTCCTAGCTGTTTGCGTTTGATATTTTACAAAATGTTTAATGTTGGACTTTTTGTGTTGAATGTTTGGAAAATCTGGGGGATGGTTTGGTATGATTTTTGGTATGTGGGTAGTTGTTGAGTCTCTTTGTGTTTTGGAGTGCATTAGCAGGTTGTCGCATATTTTTATTGCTTAATTTAAAAGGATTTTCACTTTTTCACCCCTACTTCATAATAGGATGGTCTGTTTGACCCAAAAGTTGGGACAGAGTGTTTTTGTTTATACCTCCAGCTGGCAGGTCAGACCCAGGCAGCCCTATCTATTTTTACCCCTAGACAGAGTCTGCAGGAAAATAAATCTTGTTTGTCTGGTCTGCAGGTCATTTGCCTGGTCATTGACCTACATGTACAGGCAAATGTAGCCTGGGTACCATCCCCAGTAGTATATTCGCAAACTCTATAACAGTTATAGAGTTTGCGAATATACTACTGGGGATGGTACCCAGGCTAAGGCAAATGACCTGCTGGCCATCAAAGTAAACAAACCATGGTAACAAGACACTAAACGCCTGCACATGACAGCTTGATGAAAGTGCCACCACAAATCATTCTGCTGATAAAAACAAAGTTTGACTCATAATATCTCTTTTGAAATACACCAAAAGATTACAAAATAACAAGCTATTTCAAATAGCTTGTTATTTTGTAATCTTATTTTCATGGAGGGATGATGTCTACGACTTCTCCTTGTTAGGATCTGTTGTCCCCCCCCCCTATGTATAGGTGTGACTCTTGCTGTCTTCCAGTCTGCAGGTATGTGGCTAGTAGAGAGAGACTAATTGAAAATGTGAGTTAGAGGTTTGCATATGCTAGGTGCCGATACCTGGAGAAGCCTTGCATGTATTTTGTCTAGACCAGTTGCTTTGTTTCTTTGCAAAGCTTTCAGTTTCTCATACACTGACAGTTCACTTACTTGTTTGAAGCTGAAAGTGGATGTCAGGTTTTTATATCTTTGAGGGCACTGTATGCGTAGGTTGGCAGATTGATTTTTAAAAGTCTCTGCCAATTTGTGGCCGATGGTGATGAAGAACTGGTTAAGGCAGTTTGCTATGTTGGAGAAATCAGTAATAAGATTCCCTCTCCATTGCAAGGATTTGGTAACTACTGTGGTCTTTCTACATTTGTAGGTAGCACTTCCTTTACTGTAGTTCAGAGTTTTTTTGGAGTCTGCCATATTCTCTTCCAGTTTTTCTTGACAGTTTTGGCTAGTCTAACATTCATGTTTACAACGTGGCGTTTAGACTTATAATCCTCCCAGTCTTTGTTATCACCAGTTCTGCGTGCCCTAGCTTTCATATCATCCCTGCTTTGCATCATCCTCTTTATGTCTGGAGTAAGCCATTTAGGCTGAGTGTCTTACGTGCGTTTTGAAATGTAGGGGGCATGAATGTCACTGATTGCATGTCTCGAAAGCCTTACTAAAATGTACAGAACGGATAAGGTCTAGATGTTGCAGGATCTGCTGTTTTAGATCCGACTTATGCTATATTTTGGGACAATGTTGTATCAAAAGCTTGTCCAATTTTTCATGTAACCTTTAAATGTATTCAAGTAGATAACAATCACGAAAGGTAAATGGGTTTCTGCGGTGTTTAATTAATTTTCGAGAAACATTCCATAGTAATCAAATATTTATCATCGATATAAAACTGCTAAGTTAATGGTTAAAATCTTTAGTATTAATTTGTTAGATTTATAACCAGAAATTGAAAAAAAAGATTACATCATTCTAAATAATGGTTCAAAACCTGAAGCACAAGAGATGGAGCCCATTAGATTACCAGGAGTTTCTATTTCCAATATCTTCCCACGAGGAATCATGGTATAAATCCCAACTGACGTCACAATGGACTGACATCTCGCGAGAGTACTGTTGGGCGAGAAGTCAGGCCATGTGACTAACGCCTTCTACTAAACCCTGATTGAGTGAGCGGTAACTTATGTAACGGGCGTAGACCAATCTGTGCCTCGGTATACTCTCTAGGAGTCACTCCAAAAAAGCAGCTACTCATTGAGCAACTGAGTATAATTTTGGAAACGGTCAGATGTCTCAGGTAGCATCCACTACCTTTCGTCAGTGACAAGAAACGAAGGAGACATGCAGGTTAATATGTACGAACTATTGAAACATCTGACTGTTTCCAAAATCAAATGCAGTTGCTTGAGAAGCTGTTTTTGGCGTGACTCCTAGAGAGTATACTGAGGTACAAATTGGTCTACGTCCGTTACATAAGTTACGTTTTTTTCCCTTTGTTTGTGTTCTTTGAATTTGCTTCGTTACAGTTCAAGGGGCCAATACAGGGTTTGTGATTTTCTAGATGATTTTTTAATGTTACGTTTAGGCTTTATACATGGATAGAAAACTTTGTTCTCAACGTTACAAGTGAACATGTAAACTGTCAACATTATATTTCTTATTTTTAGATAAAAACAAGCTTCATATCAAAAGTACTGATTGTCTGTTTGAGCTTAGGACATCAGGACCAGCTTAGAGTCTCTAAAGAGCACGATACATGTTTTAAGGGGCCGACAGGAGGAGGAATTCGAATGACCGGTGTATTTGTCCTTACTGGGACACTGGTCATGCTGGCTTCAACACAGTTAATGGCCTTTCCAGACACTCTTTCTCTAATATTTTGCAATGTAACAGATTCTATTGAGAAAAAATAGAAGTGTCAGTAATTGAATTTTTTAAACACATACAATTTAGAGCATACATACAATATGCGGATATGTCACCATGAAAATATACAATGCGTGCGCTTTGTTCAAGAGTAGAAGATTACGTTTAAGTATCGCAGTATTGTTTGGACTGAAAATATTTACATTTGCAGATACAAAAAAATAATCCAACATCAACAGAAGGTTGTTTATGTTGCAATCAAATCTTTTATTATCAATGTGTATTTTTAAATTCAACTTCTAACTGAGGAATTGTTGCCTAACTTCGGAAAGGTTTCCAAGTTTAACCAACAATTCGTGAAGACAGAGGTCAACAGCTCAATATGACATGTATCTTGTTTGAGAATATATTATACTAAGACAAATGCAGATTAAGACCTCAGTATACATCTGAATTCTATGGAGATAAGATGGGCAGAGGTCTGACTAAGACAGGAACCAAGACAAATTACTCTTCAAGACACTTGACATCAAGGGACAACAGAATTGAAGTACGGTTGTAAGAAGATGATCTTACATAATCTAGAATGTACTGACAACACTAAGTATGGCTTGTATGCCTGGTAGAGTCTGACATTTGCTTTCCGTTACGTATAATGTGCAGTTCTGGTAGAGCTCTAGTCTACGTGGATACTGTTGTTTTAACCCTCAAATCACCGTGTGGGGTCAAAACTGACCCAGGCGTATATAAATACGTGCCATTTGGACATTTCTCGTCAAAAATAGAAAATCCTTCTATGTCTTATAACTTCCCATACGTTTTACTGAGATCGGAACATTCTTGATCGAGTTATGCTATTACGTTTATGGGTATTACAGTGTTGTCGTCAATATGTCATCCAGGTGCTTTTTTTTGTAGATCTTTTGTCTTGTTTCTATTTTTCTTCTAGTCTGTGTGAAGAAATATTCCTCAATTATATAATATCTGACTGCAATGAATTCAGAAAAGGCAATTATATATCATACCCCATATGTAAACAAAAGGACCTGTTTTTTGGCAAAGCATGATAGATGCCTTGTACACTTCACTGAAGGCCACCCAAAGGGTCACAACTAACAATTGACACTGGCTGAACTCTAATGACCTCTGCAAGGTTCCCATCAAACCAGCATGTCACGTGGACGTTGTCGACAGTGAAGAAGTACAGCCGGTCCTGACACTTGTTCCTGAAGTAGGGAGACCTCGGGTCCGCACTAAGGATGTCACAGATGGCTTTCTTGACTTTGACTTCTTCACCGTCCTTGAAGGAAGTAAGGGTGAAGACATCTGGGCCATGTCCTCTAGAATGGGATTTCTGAAGTGTTGCTTCAGCATTGTGGGTGAAGCTAACGTGAAGTTTTTGAACAGGTGGAGATGTGACCCAACTGGCAACAGTGACCTGTTCTGATGTTGAAACATCTCCACTCCTGCTGTTCTCTGCGCACCGGGTTACATCCTTGCTTTCAACCTTCAAAGTGTCATCAGTTGAATTGTCTTTAAGAGTTTTCTGATGTGGTTCTGAGAAGCTAAGGTTTGTTCTGACATAGACTGTGTCCTCTGCAGAGATGTCTTTCTTAGCTATGTTCTGTCCAACACATCCAAAATTTGCTTTCTCCTCAGTAGAAGAAGCTGGTGAGTCAGTTGACACCCCGTCATATACAGGGATGTAGGGCTTGATGTCGAGGATAGGCGTTCCATCGAGTATATCTATGCCTGACAAATGTAAAGTGTCACCTTCTACTTTGTCCAGTTTTGCCAATGTTAGCCCAATTGGGTTTGGTCTGTGTGGACTCCTTGTTGCAAACACACCCACTGTGACCCCACCTTCGCCTTTACTGCTCCTCCTTCATTAATGTGGAAAACAAATATGATCCATATGTGTGAAAACTTTTCAATCCCCTGCAGTTAGTGCTCTGGGTTATTGAATATGCTTCTGGAGATGGTAAGCTTGGCCTTGGACAGGTCACAAATGGTGGGCTGCCTTGGAGTGCCAGCCTTGTGCTTGAAGCAAGACTCCAGATGTCCAATTAGAGTACTCATAATTGTACCTTCTGGTATATTGTGTCTTCCAATTGCAGCATCTTCAAAATGCAGGAGTTCCTGGGACAGGTTTTCTGACGGACCTTTTCTTGAATTTTGAAAACTTCTTTCTTCTGTACACGCTTCAGAGTCTCTATCTGTTGCCTATTTTTCAGCTCCTTCCTTGCCAGAAAAACCTCTTTCTGGAGTTGTTGGGCGGCCATGCTTGTCAGATAATATGTTTGCTTGTTGTTGTTTTTTTGTTGCCATTTGAATGACCTCAACACGTTAAAGCATGAAAGTAATTCTGGCCCTAGACGTCCTTGCCTATACCCTATAACCAGTTGCCTATACCCTAGACGCTAGTTAATTGCCTTTGGGCTTGGGGTCAAAGGTCATCGACATGGCTGCCTGTAGGCATCTTGTTTGAGGTGCATAAATTATGATAATGAGCAGACAGGTCAAATTGTACCTCATAGATTAATGAAACTATACATAGTTAAAAATCACAAAAAAGAGCCACAAAAAACGCTATTCGTGCAAAACATTATTGGGTCAGTTTTTATGCCATACGGTAAGATTTGTCACAAAGAAACCTTAGTGGTTTGAGGGTTAAGACTACCAAATGGGCGCAACAATTACAGGGAAGATTTCCGGACAGACTTAGTATCAAAGCTAATTCAGCTGTAAGGAATGCAATTTTCAAGCTTTAAATACCGACATCTACAATTAGACACTTTTGTAGGACTGCATGTCATTGCATTGTTGATCTTCATCTGTATTTAAATACCATTTGTTGATGTTGGATTTTCTTTGTTTTATAGGCAAATGTAAATATTTGAAGTCCGAACAATATTTAAATACTCTGGCATCTGACGTGACGTTTTAGAAAGTTCTATAATCTATGTATATACGTAACCCTGTTTGAATTAAACTACTGACGCTATTCCGGAATTCAATCTGTTTTATTGCAAATATATTAGAGAAATCCATCCTGACCAGTGTCCCAGCGATAGAAAATGATCCCCCCAAAAGATAGTCCGCCCCAAGACAAATCCACCAGTGATTTCCCTCCTCCCCACCCCTCCCGGCCCCTTGAAAAACAAACACTTGTATATCGTGCTCTTTAGAGACTCAATGTCCTTAGCCCAAACAGACAATCAGTCCTTTAAATATGCAGGTTTTCTTCACTTTAAAGAAAAAAATGTAATGTTGACATTTCCTCTGTTCCATGCAGCGTAAGGGACAGAGTTAAGACATTTTAAACATTAAAGTTCCATTTATGTGTAGGTAACAAAGAAATCATTAAAAAAAAAACAATAATCCAGTATCGGCCCGTAGTTCTATGAACACTGACACATGTAAGAGCCGATTCAAAGTACAAACACAGACAAAGGACAAACCGAACAAACAAGGGAGTTGCAGCCAGACGGAAACTGCATAGACCAATCTGTACCTCAACTGGAGTAGCTGCCGTATCGTCTATAGCATATAACAGCGAGCAGATTATTATTGGAATGAGCAGAGCACTTTGGACTAATGCCTCTGACCATTTACAGCTTAGAGGTTCATATCCAATATTTTGTCAAAAACTTCTCTGTTACATAGCGGATCATAATGACCCCCAGTGGGGGTCTTCACGCTTCGTTAAAGATTGAAAAATCTCAATATTTTAGACGAAATCTTTAGATCTTATAAGACAATATTGAGATTTTTTATGACAATCTCCAGATCTTTCAGAAAATCTTAAGATGAAAAGAAAAGGTCTCAAGATCTTTCCAAATGTTTTCAAAGTATCTTGAGATTTTTCCATAGCATCTCGAGATGCTTTAAGAAATATCAAGATTTTTAAAGCAATCTTAAAAAAAAGTGAGATCTTTTAAACAATCTTGATATTTCTTAAACCATCTCGAGATGCTTTGGAAAAATCTCAAGATACTTTGAAAACATTTGGAAAAATCTTGAGACCTTTTGTTTTCATCTCAAGATTTTCTGAAAGATCTGGAGATTGTCATGAACAATCTCAAGATTGTCTTATAAGATCTCAAGATTTCGTCTAAAATATTGAGATCTTTAGAATGAATCTTGAGATTTTTCAATTTTCAACGAAGCGTGAAGACCCCCACTGGGGGTCATTATGATCCGCTATGTAACAGAGATGTTTTTGACAAAATATTGGATATGTACCTCTAAGCTGTAAATAGTCAGAGGCATTAGTCCAAAGTGCTCTGCTCATTCCAATAATAATCTGCTCGGTGTTATATGCAGGCAAGGCTGAAGACAACAACTCCTACATCGCACCAGCGAGAGCGAGAGGCTGCATGATCCAAGTAAATTAAAATTTAGATACTGGATCGGGTCGAGCATCTGGGAGTTGTGTAAGTGAACCTTCTTCAGTTGAGTCTACAAGCAAGGGCGATATGGCACACCGCAAAACACCATCAGAGACGTCGGAATGGAAGGAAAACTGTCAAAAAGTGGAAATGCCTTCCTGCAGCACAATTGATGCAGTGAAACAGAAGGAATCACCCAGTGACGATGCCGACACCTCTGCATGTGCCGGGGATGACCATAACATACAGGACACACCGCTTTCCCCAAAGACACATCCAAACCCAACTGGCAAAAATAACCTGTATCAGATGAACTCGCAGTCAAACCTCCAACCACGCGCGTATAAAGCACTGAATCCACAGTTCCTGAATCCGATGTACGAACCAAGTGTTTCCTCTGCAGCTGAACTTCAGGCTGATAGATGTGATGGCATTCTCCGCAGTCAGGGAGACGGTGGCAGTAACAATAACGTACGTTTAGCTGCAGCTGAGAGCGGACAGACACTTGAAGTTACCGTGGGTGATAACCATATGGAACCCGGCTCACCAGATGAGTTTCAGGCTGATAACTGTGGTGGCATTCAAGGGGACGATGGTAGTGACAATAACGAATATGCAGCTGCAACTGAGAGCGGAAAGACAGTCGAAGTTACCGTGGGTGATGACAATACTGAACCCGACTCACCAGATGAGCTGCAGTCTGATAACTGTGATGAAATTATCCCTTACGAAGTTTTCTACGAGGAAACTGATTGCAGTAACAATGGAACAAGTGCAACTAAAGCTGAGAGCGGGAAGATAATTGATGAAGCCGTTGTTGTTGACGACATTGAACCTTGTCAGGATGACACGCCTAGCACGGAAAACACGCAAAGGAACGCCCCGACATCTCATGAGAACGGCAACAACGTTGGGCAACAGAAGACAACTTGTGGTAAGAAAAATATTTTACCTTTATTTGACTAGAAAATTATTATTTTTTATGGTATTTTTGTTTTAAGTTTAATTTTGTGGGAATTGATGCTTCGTGTTTGAACACCATAAAATATCTGAATTTTTAAAATGATATTTTAAATTTCTGAGATCCACTGTACACAAAAATCAATTTAATGGAATCAAAGCCACCAGTGAAATATGTATAAAATGCATAAAAATAAATCACAACGTTATTATGATCATGATCAAGAACAAGATAATTAAAGGAAATATGGAACAGAAATGTGGTGGAAATAGTAAAGAAACTGAAAAAAATCAGATTGAAGGCCAGTTCCCTTTGTCTGGGTGTCGTGCTATTTGTAGCGTGGCTTCTTACATTCTCTGGACAGAAATAAAAGTCCATTTTTAAGTCAGGACAATGCGAGTGCAAGAAGCTCTGTGAGTGAGCTCTGTTACAAATGGGTAATGGCACCCTGGCTATGTCTTTAAACAAATAGAGAACAAAATGCACATAAGTGCATAACACACCCGTACCAAATTTCAGGTCATTTTGCTTTCATGTTAACAAAGCCATTTATTCCTGGCTAAGAAGGAACAGAAAAATAATAAAAGAATCTTTTGTAAGACTGTTTTTATATAAATTTCCATGCATATGCCCGAGGTACCTTTAAAAAAAAAATCAGTAGGGAGAGTTTCAGTTCTTAGTAAAGAAAACTACAGCGTTGACTAATATTATTTGCTACAATCAAAATGTACGGCAGCAGAAAATCCGTCACATCATAACACCTCATACATGGCAAATATCTGCTGTGTTCTGATTGAAAACCATAAGCCTCGCCCCTTGTTCTCTCTTGAACGCCTCCGTCAAAATCAGCGCGGGAAAGGCCGCGCCGAAACGTCTTCAAACGCGACCACAGCTTTCATTGGTGGTTGGGAGGTGCTGGCATATTTTTACTGAAGCAAACATGTTCACGCGAGAAATTCCCGCGCTGATTTCGGACAGAGGTGCTTAAGAGTCATTGCACGAGAAAACTAGGCAAACTAGAATTTTGGATATGGGGATCGGCCAAATCAACTCATACTTTGCAAATATAATATGTACGTGGAAATACGAACAGACATGTATATTAATAAAACCCTGTATTTTTTATTCGGGAGATGTAGGGACCCTAATTTACGACGCTTGTTATTAATCACATGATGTTCCTCTCCCCAGCAACACTTAAATCATTTACCAAAGCCACTGCCCAGGGCCAGGGGACATAATGCCACTTAAAAATGACAAAAAATTAAAAGAGAGTCGGTCCAGACAACAAACAACCTTCCAACTCCAACATTTTATCTTCATCTTTTTTTCTGTAAAACAAAAGAAACAGTGCTGCATTGTATATGAAAATATAAATCTCATCTTCTCATTTTTATCCAAATTATGTGACCATGGCAATTTCAGACATTTTCAGCCATTAATTGATTCATTTTTAGGGTCTAAGAGGGGGGGGGGTCTCCGCAATGAAAAAAAGGGTTTAATCATATGGCTGTTCATAGTTCCACATATCTAAAACATGTACAAAGTTTGGTTGTTTGATTTGACCGATACCCATATTACTACGTCGGTCTGGTTTGACTTTGATCTCCTGCAATGACTATTAAAAAAGGAACAGAAGCGGTCTAGTGTGTGCAAGGTAATAAAAACCTCAAATGTTAGAAAAAAAAAGAAAACATTGATCATATTACAAAACCTAGTACTGGAGTAAAATTTATTG